GGGAGGGTAGGGGGCGTACAAGCGTTGCGGTGGTGCGGGTAGGGGTGGTAGAGGCTGTCGGTGACGATGGCCTGGAGGCCGGGTGTGCGCTCAGAGACGCAGAAGCCTGCCGAACTTCAACACTTCGGCGAATCTTGAGGCTGACAAGTTTGCTTGCTTGTTTGAGCACAACAATAAACCCTGGCTGCCTTTTTCAATCTTCTTTGCGGTGGCCGGACGACGCCGCTACTACTCGCGCAAAGACAGCGGGCCCGCCCAGTTGCTGCTGCTCCGAGACGACGACGCGTGTCGATGGCATCTTTGGCGACGACGGCGGCGGCGAAAGCGCCGCTGTCGGAGCAGCAGACACTGCCTCTCGTGTGGATTGACCTCGAAATGACGGGGCTGGACATCAACAAGGATCGCATCATGGAGGTGAGCCATCATGCATGCTGCTACAGCCCCGCTTTCCCCCAACTAGCGTTGCAAAAGTGGAGCAAACGCATCGATTTTCAGATCGCGAAATCGAGCAAAATGCTCTTGATGACTTGCTTTCAATCACCCCCACCAGACAACGATCGCGAAAATGCGGGAACTTTTTTCGCGGTCGAATCACCTTCCGGCGTTTGCACTCGACAACCGTCTTCTTTTGAACGACTTACAAAAGCCCCTCTGCACGCCTCTTAAACATCCACCCCCTTCCCAACGATAAACACCATAAAAACCCCGCCTGTGCAGGTCGCATGCATCGTCACCGACGGCAACCTCAACATCCTCGAGCGCGGCCCGGACCTCGTCCTGGCCGTCCCGCCAACCCTCCTGGACACAATGGACGCGTGGTGCACGGCGCACCACGGCGCGTCCGGCCTGACGGCGGCGTGCCGCGCGTCGACGGTCACGGCGGCCGACGCCGAGGCGCGTCTCCTCGCGGTCGTCCGCCGCCACGCGCCGAGCCCGCGCGTCGCGCTGCTGGCGGGCAACTCGGTGCACGTCGACAGGGAGTTTCTGAAGCGCGAGATGCCGCGGTTGGTCGAGCACCTGCATTACCGGATCGTCGATGTGAGCACCGTCAAGGAGCTGCTGAGGCGGTGGAGGCCGGACGTACTGGACGCCGCGCCGGCGAAGCGGTTGGCGCATCGGTGCGTGCTTTGGCTCTGACAATTTTCTTTTTTTTTTTTCTTCTTTTTCTTCGTTTTCTTCTTCGTCTTGTTCTTCTTTTTTCTTTTTTTTCGTTTGACTAACTACCTGACGACCCACAACGGATAACGAAACCGATGTATTTGGCAGGGCCCTGGACGACATTGAAGAAAGCATTTCTGAGCTAAAGCACTACCGCCAGTGGGCGTTCGTTCCAGCACAACAAGCAGCGCCGCCAAGCGACGAAAGGAGTGCGTGAGCGAGCGAGCGAGCGAGCGAGGGACAGTCTTCCCACTTTCGCGTCAGGCATTTCCGATCCACCAACAAACCGCACAAACAAACCGGATTGGATGGGTGGATGGGCAAATGGATGGATGGGTGGATGGGTTGGATGAATGATTGAATGAATGTGATTGGGACAGCGACAGGGACTGCGGCGGTGACTGAGCCTGCAATGTTGTGTGATTCACCCCATCCGATATTTGCCGAGGGGTGTGGCGCATGCCTTTTCCAGTTTTCGTTTGATTCGTGACAAGGCAAGAAAAAAATGAAAAAAGAAGGAAAGAAAAAACCAATTCATCCGATCTCTCGTGCGCCTCTGTCTGTGTCTCAGTCCCTGCTGGTCTGTCCCTGTCCCAATCGAGCCCGCGAACAAAACCAGAAAACGATATTCGTCGAATAATTCACCACAAAAATTCAACCCCAAGATGTCCTGCTAACCAAACCCCCCCTGTCCCGTCAACCCCCCCCAGCGCCATCCTGTCAAACGTCTAGTTTGATCCCTTTACCCTAGGAATCACCTTAACCCCCCCCACAACTCTACTCCCTGCCTATCATGGCTTCCCCTTCGCACCCCCCCTGCTGTCCGAACAACAAGATCCCGATACACTCGTGCCGAGACCCCCTACTGAACCCCTGCTGTTGACACCACTACCCAACTTGTCGTCAACGACGTACAACGACCAACTCATCTTGGCCACCACCATTGACCATCAGTCCACAACGCCACAACCACCACTGAGCGCACTCGAACCACCCACCACAGATATGACCAACAACGAATCTTTCTTTGCTGACTTTTGGGAGGAGACGCAGGAGCTGTCTCCGGCCCTTGGATATGATGACCTGCTGAACTGTTAGTCAACTTCGAATTGTACTCATTTTCTTTTCACCTTCGCATTTCTAAACCCTCTTGCTTTCTTGCTCAACGCAGTCAGCGACTCTCCCGTTGTGTCCCATGCTCCAGACCATGACGGAGATGAGTTGTCGAAACTCATCGGGGAGCCGGACGAGGATATCCTAGCCCTCTTCGCCGACTCCAACTCGACCTCCACTCTGTTCGACTCGTTCTTCCCGCCCGAGCCGAGCAAGACGGACGCTCCTCTCTTCTCTCCCTTCGTGGAGCCCGCCCCGGCTCCCAAGCGTGTCAAGAGGGCAGCCACCCAATCGCTGCTCCCTACACCGCCTCAAGAGCCGCTCCGCAACTTTCCTCTCGACCCCAAGATTGGTCTCACCCCCGATGTCGCTGCCCAGCTCCTGGCGGCCGTCGAGCGCCAGATGCACGCGCAGGTCCCGCACCTTGTGCCTGCCGTCGAGCGACTGCGGTCGCAGCTCCGTGGGTCGGCGGCCGCCGTAGCCGCCGCCACCTCGTCCTCATCGGTCCTGTCCACTCCCGTGTTGACGCCACTTGCCGCCCCGATGACGCCTGCTAACCGCCCAATCCGCCTGCCCTCTCGCACGGTCTCTGCGTCCCCCGCTCTGTCCACGCTGTCGAGTTTCTCCCCTGCGGTGCCGCCCAAGGCCTCTTTCTCACCTGAGGCAGCAGCACTGCTGCACTCGTTCGGCCCTGTCCCCACGGACGACGACAGCTTTTCGGCTCTTTTCGCAGATGTTGCGGGGCCTCGTGCTGACTCGAGCGAGACTCTGGTGGACTCTTCAGAGTCTGTCACCCCCGCTTGTTCGTGGTGCGGACGGCGAGCTCCGCCCGAAGATGAAGGTCGGCCGCAAGCGCAAGGACCGCTCCGATGCGCCTGCCGAAGTCCAAGCCCTGCTGGACCGCAAGCGCGAGCGCAACACGGAGGCTGCGCGTCGATCACGTCTGCGTCGTCTCGCAGAGCAGGAGCAGCTGCAGAAGGATGCTGCAGACGCTACTGCTATGCGCGATGCTGCCCTCGCCAAAGTCAAGGCACTCGAGGAGGAGCTCGAGCGTGCCAAGACAATGCTGCTCGTGGCCAATGCCCAGCTGGTGACGGCCGGCATTGAGCCGATGAAGTTTTAGTCCGTACGTTGAGCAATGCTCATCTCGCGTTTCTTTTTTTCATTCTGCCGTTGCTCGAGTGATTTGTCGTCACGTTGTGTATTTTGTTTCTTCCCCTTCTTTTATTGTGCAAGTTGCTGGGTGCCCTCAGTCCGTCTGTGGTCAGTCAAGCAGTCTCTGCCAGTGCCGTGCTTTCGTTTAGTATTTTTCCCTTCTTTGTTTTTGGTGTGTTGTTTTTTGAAGCCGACGGTTCCGTTGTTTCTTTCGCCCTCTCAGACCGTGCGGACGATGCCTTTCTTGTTGTCATTTGAATAGAGTGTCATTTGGCAGCTTGCAAAGGAACTTGCGTGCAGATGAATTTTCGCTGACAAATGCTGTGGAATTTTGGAACCGAGAATTGGAACAACCCCCCAATTAGCCTCCAGTCTTCGTCCAAATGTGAAAATGCAATGAAAGCCAATAACAGGCTATTTCTCACCTGATCCACAAAGTATCCCAATGAGCAGTTGAATACCGATAACGACAGGGGCGATCAGTGTCGACTGGCGGGGCCCACGGGCCAGTAAGAGAGGAAGCAGAAGGGCGCTCCCAAGGGCGCAACCAACCGCCTGAATGAATAGAGAGTATAGTTTTGGATCGATCCTCTCAATTTTTTGGATAGCGTACCTGCCCGCTGCACAGGACCGGCCCCGACTCCTCCTTGCCCTCAGACTCCTCGATGATGTATCGTTCAGTTCAGCCAGCGCACGACCCACTGGAGCGAAACCCCCTTTGGCACCAGCCAAGATGGCGGCGGCGAACTCGACGGCGCGGCAGCTGCCGTAGCTGCAGCAGTTCGCCCTGTTTGTATGGAGAGCCAATGCTCTCAGACAGATTGGTCTTGTTTAGAGTGCAGAACACACCCCTTTACTTGTACCCTATATGAACGAGGTTCGACCTGAGGTAGAACTTGAAGAGCTTTGCAGGTCAAGGTAGAGGGGTATGGTGACTCAGATAAGAATAATGGTTTTTGTTTGTTGTATTCGAGGGTAGAGAGAGAGAGCAGGCAGATGTGATCAGGATCTGGGATGATGCTTCTCTGGAGCTGCTGGGGCTCCCCCTTTTATACCGCAGGTGGTCTCAGGAATCAGACTTTTGTGATAGCCTTTGGCCCTGGGAGATAGAGTTTAGACTTTGAGGAGTCCTATCAAATTGCTAGACTGAAGAACACTGATGTGGTCTACCCAGGCTGGGGATCGAAACCAACTCTAAGCACTCGTACAGTGTCAGAGATTGGGAGAAGTGTAGGTAACACTGGGACGAGCCCTAATGCCATCTTAACTCATCTTTGCTCTTGAAGACAGGTCAGAGGATCTTAAAAGGTGTAGGTAATGTGTGCAAACTCCAACACACCAGAGGTGGTTCACTTTGTGTTAGCTGGTGGGCTGTGGATGACCCAGGGGGTGTGCATAAAGACAGTCCAGCGCAGCAATCTTGCAGGCGAATTTTGAATTTAAAAGAAAGAAACAAAGGCAGCAAAATGTTTATCAGGCAGAATGAGTAGCTGCTGTGGGACCAAGGTGGAGCTCACGCTGGGCCAGGCAGAGGGCGGAGCAAGGCATCAGTAACCAACCAGGAGAGAATGCAACGCTCTGGGTGAGAGTCGAATTCTACGACCTTCAGATGTCTGTGTAGTACACCTGTGTGAATTGAGGCTTGCAGGTATGAGACCGACGCTTTAACCAACTAAGCCACCAGAGCCTCCTCAACAATGCGGCACTCAAACAATTCTACTTGCTAACAAGCCTGGAAACTGCGCATTGCAACTGATTGTGGGTAAGTCGGAGCCTGCAAACTTGCCAGCAGCTTTGGCTGAGCACGGCGCTCCTAGTAGGGCCGTGCCCGAGGCCTGGAGCAGATGCTCCTGTTGCACATTGTAGGCGCCGTTGTGGCCCTCTAGAGTCTAGATAAGAGCAATTCCCAGATTGCCTAACGGGTAAAGATTCCGCCCTTCCACGGCGCGATCGGCGTTCTATTCCTCATCTGGGAAGTGTAAGCGCTCTTCTCTGAGTGAGTGAATAAAGTGCTGGGCAAGTGTGACTGGCACAGGGTAAAAACCTCTCCTATATTATCTGCTTGAGCAGAGGAGGAGGAAAACTGTTTTTACCAGGTTTCTGTTCCACTAATTACTTGGAGTATTTATCAACTGCGCAAACCAGTACCTGGGCCTGCATTGGCGGTGGCTCGCTCTCCCATTGGCATCGTGAGAATGATAACTGACATTCACAAGAGGTTCGGGTCTGTCTTGTGCCTCTTGCTGCTAACCAGTCAGTTCTGCCTAACAGGAGGAACCAGCCATCTGTTGCCTACTGGTGGTTGGTTGGTTGTGCCACTGTCATGTCCTGACGCCTTGAATCGTCATATTTCTGTGCTTCTTCCTGGGGAACCTGATTGTCACCTATGACGTTGGCCCAACCCCAACTTGTTCAGTGTGCAAGCACCTGGGATTGTTGAAAGCACAGAACCCCCCTTTTCAGGACAAGAAAACACTTCCAACTGACCAACAAGTCGTCACCTCCCACACCTGCGCCTCGCTGTCTGCCATGGGCCCATCAGGGCCCCAGCCACCGGACTTAGAAGGAGGACATGAAAAGAAAGCCACATGGCTCAGTCAGTGTTGAAGCTGCAGCATACACTCACTCATCTGCATCGGTTCCAGGCAGTTCCTCATCCTCAACTGAATTGCTTATTTGTTTGCTTCAATGTTGTATTGACAATCAAAGCTGGAGATAAATGGCTAGATGTTACGTACCAGTAGCGAATTTCTTTAAATGTGCAGAGTATGCGCTCATGCAGACAACGTGGCCGAGCGGTTAAGGCGACAGACTAGAAATCTGTTACGGTTTCCGTGCGCAGGTTCGAGTCCTGCCGTTGTCGATAGGGAGTTTTTTTTGGTCAACATCCGTCCCCACGAAATGTTCTTAAATTCCTTTATTTTCCTTCAATTCTGTTTTGATTTGGTTTAATTCAATTTTTCAGGCCGGACAGCTTGGCCTTTCGAAATTGCGAATCAAGCTGAATGGAAAAAAAGCCCTCCTTACAAACAAACTGGTCCCAAATTACTGATTTTATAAAGATTTTTGTATAAGAAAGTTGAATGTCCGATTTGATTTGTGCGTGGCGGCTGATCGGTTGCTGCAGGCCTGGGCCAGGCAGTGCGAACAAGTCTCTTCTTTGGGGAGCCTTGGGGAATAGGTCCTTGCCAGCAGAGCTTGGCTTGCCAAAACCACCTTCATCTTCTCAATCAATCAAATCCCAATCCCAGGCATCAGATGTCTTCTTGGCTGCAGGCTGGGCTGATGGTTTGAGGTAAGATGAACAACTTATGGACATGCAGAACATGCAGTTTAAGCACGCTGCATATGCAGCCACTGCTGTGTTGGTGTTGAAGGCTCAGGCTAGTGTGGGGTGCAGAAGTTTGGGGTTGGCAAGGAGCATGTCAAGGAGTGCTTGCCACCAGCTGGATGAAAGTGCAAACTTTGATCCAATCCAATCCAATCCAATCCAAAAAAAAAAAAAAAAAAAAAAAAAAAAAATCAGAAGAAACAAAAGCAAAACCCTCCCAAAGTCCAATCTGACCATGATTGCCACAGCTCCAAAAGCTAACCAAGAAAGAAACACCATAGGAAATTCTCAAAGTCAAGCTGGACGCTGCCCAGTGGGATTTCTTGCTTTCAGGAGTGGGAGAGCACAACAGCGTTACCCCATTAGGGTCAAGCCCATGGTGGGGATTGAACCCACGATCTCTCCCTTAGGGGGGGAACGCAATACCACTTTGCTACACGGGCCTGGGCACTACTTTTACTGTTGGGAGTACTCACCTTCGTCGAAACTTTCTTCCAGTTAGCTATCAAACTGAGAATTATTGGTCCGAAAGAAACCAATTAAAAAAAATCTTTTTGATAAATATAATAAGCAGGTAAATAGGTGGATTGAAATTGAACGCACTTTCCTTCCCAAGTGGACATGCAATGCTGGAATCAGCTGGATATTGCCAGAGGCCAAGCATAGGCCCCCAGTTTCAAATACAGCAGCAATCGGAATGAATGAGTGGATCCAATCCTTTTCGCAATTGTATCCAGTAGACCGAGTCCTGCCCCTGCAAAATGAAGGGGAGGCTGGACAGCTCCACCACACAGACACCTTTCACGCGAAAGCAAACCACAGAACAATGTAATGACATGATGAAGTCAAATCCTCGACACAAATAGGGTGACCGATCCACAACTTTAATACCGCCCTCACGCACTTTGCTGCCTTTTGGATATTTCCAGAGTGCTTTAACGGGAAATGTATTGTCCTTGCGAAGGGAGCGCAATGGCCGCGGCAAGGTAGCAAGTGCACGCTTCCAGCACTTAAAAAAGCAATGAAGATTGGCAGCTCCTGTGTGAACCCCGAGGAAAAGCAAAGAGAGAGAGAGAGAGTGAGAGAGTGAGTGAGCACCGATTTCTCGAAGCGTGGGGCGTTTGGAGCCATTTTTTCAGTAGGAGAACGCAATCCCGCCTGAAGCGCCAATGCTCTGGCCGGTGATCCACCTGCTCTTTGGATCCAACAGAAAAACGATCGCCGCCGCCACGTCCTCGGGCTTGCCAATCTCCCCAAACGGAGTCATCTTCGCGGCCGCCTCCTCAGACACCGTCGTCATGTCCGTCTTTGTGATCCCCGGCAGCACCGCGTTGACCCTGATCTTCCGCGGACCCAGCTCCACCGCCAGCGCCCGCGTGTACGCGTCCATCGCCCCCTTGGACGCCGTGTACGTCGTGCGGTGCGGGAACGGAACCCGCGTCATCGCAGACGACACGTTCACCACGCTGCCGCCGTCCGCGATGTGGCGTACCGCCGATGCCGTCACGTACAGGAACGAAAACACGTTCGCATCGATCGTTCGCCGAATTTGCTCGGGTGTGGTTGTCGCGATCGGCGCGGGCTCGTAGACGCCCGCGTTGTTGACCAGTCCCGTGATCGTGCCGAAACGTGCGACCGTCTCGTCAATTAGCTTGGCAGCGCCTTCCGGGGTGGACACGTCGGCCTGGATCGCGAGCGCGGCGCCGGCGCCGAGGGCGACGAGCTCGGAGACGAGGCTGGCGGCGGATGCCGAGGAAGTGTTGTAGTTGATGACGATGGCGGTGGAGGGCGCGGAGATCTGCCTTGCGGTGGCTGCGCCGATGCCTTTGGCGCCGCCGGTGATGATGATGACGCGCTCGAAGGTGGAGGCCATCTCCTGTGCCGGGTGAACGCGGGACTGTCTGTTTCTGTAGGTGTTCAAATTCGGTTTTCCGCCAAACACTGTTTTTCCGTTGGCCGAAATTTTTTGTGGCGAAGTGTCGGAAATGTCAACTCACATAAAAATTCGCGGCCACAGACCACCTCCCCAAGGCCACACCTACGCCAACCTTCCATCCTCCAGCAATCATATCTGCAAATTATCGAGCTTTCTCTCTTTTTGGCTGTTGTTGGAACATTCTGCTAAAACAGCAGCGAAGGAAAACCAAAATTAAAACAATCGTTCCTTTTTTAGGCCTTTCCAAACTCTCAAGCAGCAAAACGCCAAAATCACTCAAAAGGAAATCAAAGTTAGTGTGGTGAACTGGAGCGAGAGTGCCGAAGAGGAGGAACTATGAAACCATTAGAGGCGAGACGCACTGGTTACAAAGACTTCTCAAAGTAGACTGAGCAATGACGGCCTGTCGGCTTCCATAGTCTGCGTTGGGTATCGCATTCCAGCCACCGTAAACGCCGTCAATCATATGGCGGATAGCCTGTCCTCATCATGACCAGTCAGCACACCACGGCGGCCCAATTCGCGGCGCCTCGATATCGGGTGGTGGGTCGGCCACTGGGTTGACCATATGTTTGATGAGAATGAAGGCGTATAAGCTCGGCGCACCGCTTTTCTTTTTTCTCTTTTGCACCACAGTTGGGGTGGTGAAACAAAATGGATGAAGAAAACCAGGATGGGTGAGGCTGTGGCGGGGAAATGTGCGAAAGGAACGGAAAGATCAACTAAACAGGAAAAAAAAAAAAAAAAGAAAGAAAGAAATTAAGGAAACAGGAAAAGGGCAGAGGTTCTGGCAGTCCGACGCAAGCAGAAACGGACAGCTGCCGCCGGTCGGGAGTCGGAGTTGTGCTCCCTTGCAGGAAAGAAGAGCAAGACACCACCACCCACAGCCACAACCGACCTTGTTTCCTTTTTTGGGCGGATTAATAAAAAATGCTGCCAAATATGGAACGGTTGGGAAAGACAGCGTAGGAGAGGAAAAAGAGGCCGGCCGGACAGACAATCTATCAAATATCATCCCTTCGCGCAAACGATCATCACTATATTACTTGTTTATAATGGATTAGCCCCACCGCACCAACCCCCACGTCCCGTTCATTTCTCTCTCTTTCGCAAGCACACCAGCAAATAACTCTCAGAGATGTGGCGGCGGCGGCTCCCCTCTGCCTCCCCTTCCTTCTTCTCTCTAAGCGCCGCCGCCGTTACTGCGCTCGCCGCCATTGCCGTGGCGTTCCTCGTGGGCGCTGCCCCCGCTGCTGCCGACTGCACCAACCCTACGGTGCGGAGGGAGTGGTCGAGCCTGTCGTCGTCGCAAAAGTCCCAATGTGAGTACAAAGACGAGACATTGTGCAGTCGTTGTTGGGGAGACCGCACGGTTTGTCAACCGAGCCATAACTACTGCTAATCGGACGCTCCCTCTCCTCCATCTCTCTCCCACTCGATGCCGCACATATCCCGCTCCTCTCTCTCTTCCCCCCCCCCCCCCCCCCCCCCCCCCCCCCCCCCCGCATGTAGATATCAACGCCATCAAGCAGCTCTCCAAGAGGCCCCTTTCCGGCCAGGGCATGGACGCCTCCACTCCAATCACGGACTACTCCACTCTCTCGCTCGGCGACTTCACCGCAACCCACTCTGCTAAAGCCTTTTACGCTCACGGAAATGCACAGTTCTTCCCGTACCACCGCGCGATGCTCTGGAACTTTGACCAAGCTCTGCAAACCGTTGGCTGGAAAATCGGTCCGGTTTACTTTGACTGGGCGCTGTACTCTCAGGTGCTTATGTGTGGGCGGGGGAATTTCACTCTGTAGTGTCACATGAGCGATACGCGCGGGCTCGAAACTAACCTTGCTTCATCAGTCGTGGGACAAGAGCGACTTGTTCTCCTCGGCGTACGCCGGAACCTGGACATCGTCAGCGGCCGACTGCCTCGCCGACGGCCCCTTCAAGCGCGGCGACTACAACGTATCCCTAAACCCGCCGACTGCGACAGCGAGTATCGAAAACACATACGTGACTCGAGTCTACAACGGCGACTCCACCTGCCTTCGCCGGAACTCTCACGTCGGCAGTGCTCTCAACGACCCCGTTTCGCTTCTGCTCTGGTACGGAACAGCCGGGACGTACTCAGACTTTCGTAGCGCCAGCGGTGTGGACGATAGATTCAACTGGCACTCGACTGTCCACGAGACGTTTGGTGGTGACGGCGATATGGCAAACCCGTACTTCAGTCCGAAGTATGTTATCCATCTCTTGCATATTTCTATCGCTGACATCATCCCACCCTCATAACTGGATTGCAGCGATCCGCTCTTTTACTGTAAGTGGCGTTGTTTCCATCTCTTCCCAGCCTTCACCAATTCCTGACCACTTTTGACCATCCCAAAGTTCACCATGGCATGGTAGACAAAGTAAGCGAAAAGCCCCCCTCGAATCATTCCCAATGTCAGCTACACACTGACAAAACGAAAAACACACCAGATCTGGTTCAAATGGCAGAGCATCTGCGACGAGTACCGCACATCGTACACCGGCAGCCTCAACTCTGGAGGCCAAGCCTCGCTCAACGAAGTCCTCGACTCGTGGTACATTGAAGCCCAAGACGTAATCGACACTCGCTCCGGCAAGCTCTGCTACATTTACGAAAAAACCGCGAGCGACATCCCGTTCACCGCACCGACGTGCCCGGGTGGTGGGGCGCCGAATTTGGACCCCTGGGCCGAGAAAGGGTCCGTGGACGTCACCGACAAGGCTGCCAACGACTCTGCAACCCCGCCCGCCCCCGTCGACTCGTCGCAGTGGCTCACCCAGCTCGTCCAGGCGCTCCTCCCTCTCGGCAGCGGCAAATCAAAGTCCCGCAGGGACGACGCGGCCGCAGCGTCCGCCGTCGCCGTCGTCGCCGCCAACGCCACGGTAAATTCCACGGCCAACGCCAACGCCACCGAATCCACGACGGCGACGTTCGACCCCCTCGCATGGACCGCCAACGTCACCGTCGCACCCGACAAACGCAGCGTCGTCCTCCACGGCGTCACCCTCGACGTCCCCACCGGGTACGTCCTCGACAAAATCTTCCCCCGACACATCCTCGTCCGAAAAGTCGCCCTCGCCGACGTCGCCAACGACGGTCGCGACCAGTTCAAAGTTGTCACGCTCGTCGCCGCCGCGCGGAACGGTACCGTGCCGGACGTGTGGACGCCGCCGTCGACGGAGGACGGAGAGCTGGAGGAGTCGGAGGAAGAAAGGGCCGAGAGGGAGGAGATTTTTAAACTCTTTGACCCCATCGCGGAGCACCAGGCCGCCACCGCCGCCGCCGCCGCCGCCACTGCCACCGAGGCGGATGCGGCGGCGGTGGACGCACCAGCAGTCGCGCCGACCGTCGTCGACAGCCTCGCGATGCCCGCGTTCCTCACCCCCGCGCAGCTCGAAAAGTGGATGATCGACCCCGTCGGGTACCGCCTGTGGGAGAACCGCGTCCGCAAGGTCGTCCACTACTACAACACCGACCCGCGGTCGCAGTCGCCGGCGGTGGTCAAGGCGAGGGAGCTCGCGGCGGCGGAGGGGGTTGCATTGTGAGATGAGAGCGTCTGGGAAGACTGGATTGACTATATGGAAAGTGTGTGGTGTATCGGTTCGCTTGTGATCTTCTTGCAATTGATTAGTCCCTTTGGAGGTTGCTGCATGGAGAAGACGGATAGAAAGAAGTAAAAAGTACGTGGTGTTGAGATATGGCAAAATAGAGCGCCTGCTACAATGAGAGTATTTGCTACGCTCCATTGCCCTCGCTTGCGTCGAAGGGTAGTTTTCGCACTTTATGAATACTGCCAATCGGTCGGTTGGGGAGAAGGAAACCGTTGAAACCTCCAAAAAAAAAAAAAAAAACAGACTTTTTCTTTTGGTTCAAAGTGATAATGCAATGGTCCTTTAATTGCTGTTGCTCTTTGTATCTCTGTCAGTAAAAATTCCATTTTTACTCCATCTACCCTCTCCTTTTGTTTGTCCGTTCACTATAACCTTTCCTCCTCAAAATTGCTACGTCACTTTGCACCATTCACCACGATCCATCGTCAGTGAACAGCCGAAGCCCGCTTCGACGCGCGAGCAGCGTCCGAAACAGAATTCTTGTCAAACGAGGACTTCGCCGACGCGGGTCGCCCCTGCATGGCCGAGACCAGCTTCCGCACGCGGTCGGCGTCGGTTAGGAGAACAACGCACATGACGCCCGGAGCCACGATGATGAAGACCCTGTGGTGGTGGTGGTGTAGGGGGTTGGGGGTTGTAGGAAAGGATGATGTTTGCCGTTGCGGCTGGGTGTCAGCGCATTATAACTGGCGTCAAAGTTTGACTTGCCATGCTGTGAAGGCGGAGATTTAGGAAGTGTGAGAAACAAGCGACCGCGCGAAACGCGAAACAGGACAAATAATGGTGGAGAAAGAGATCGTTGTTGTTCCTCACCTTGCGTCGAAACGAGGAATCCGCCTGCCCAAAGTATTCGCGTTAGATTGTTTAGGACGACGCTGCTCCTGTGGCCTTCCAATCGCACTCGAGCTCCACCTTCCCTATCCCTCCCTCTCTTATCTCCCTCTTTCCTCCTCTTCCCCCCGCCTCGCCTCCCCATACCTGTAGTCAGGAAAAACAGAGTGAGCGACACCGAGTACAGCAGGCATCGCAGCACGATGTCCAAGTAGTTTACGACCGACGGCTTCACTTCGTTGATCTGGCCCATGACAGCGACGATGCGCGCTTGCGATGCTATAAAGAAAAGCGTGTCGACGGTGACAATGTACACTAGGAGTGCGATGGACAGCTTTTGCACGGCTGGGTTGGGCATCGTTCCAAAGTTGTCCTAGAACGGTATTTGGGGGGGTCTCAGCTTGAAGGGAAGGAGCGTTATTGGAAATTGTTACCTTCATGTCCTTGTAAAAAAGAGTCGACGCTTTGATGATGAGGGAAAAAATCAGCCCGAAGTACAAATTGCTTTGAAGGCACTTGTTTACGGAGGGAATGCTGCACTAACCGGCCCTGGAACGGACGGACGCGGGGCAAAAGAAGGAGTGAGTCGGAGCTTTTTTTTTTTGAGATCGGGCCCAGGGCCATCGTAGCAATGGGGTCACTCACATAAAGATTGCGAATTCGATTGCAGAGATCGCCAGCGACGGGATCCAAAGCCAATATTGCTTGGTGGGCAGCATCAAAATCAATGCCCGGTAGGTGGTGTGATACGAAAGAGAGGCGAACTAGCGAGAAGAAATCAATAATTGGTCTCGCGGGGAGTGTGTGGAGTAGATCTAGAGGCAACTGATCTGAACGGGATCGTTTCCGTACCATAATGTCGAAAGCAGCTTCGATAAATTACGTGTAAAACAAAGGAGTGGATCCCACGGTCAGTGAAATTGACCATGCGTGCCCCGAAATACGCCGCTCAACTGCTTCCCAGCCGCTGCCAGTCGAAAATGAGCTGCACGCCGTCCAGCGACGTTTCAACGCTCATCTGCTGAAACGTGATCGTGCCCGTCACGCATCCGACGAGGTAGAAGAGCAGCGCGACCCACATCGAATACGCCATGTGCCTGTTCTCGATCTTGTTGATGTGCTCACGGAAGCAGATTGCCTGGCGAGTAATTTTTGCGGAGGTGGGGGGTTTTGTGCGTGGTGTGGAGGTTGGCGACGTGGGGTGGAGAGCGGGATGTTTGGCGGCCCCGGGAGAAGGACAGGGCTATGGAAATCGGATCGAAAGGGGTTACGCGACGTCGATCTTACCACTGCCAGGGACAACAGCAAGCCGGCACTGTTTTGGTCGCTGAGGCTCCTGCTCGCAATGCAAGGGGTGGAGGGGAAGAAGTGCACGCGTCAGGGGACATGATAAGAGAACATGCAGAGGGCGTCTTCGCGCTCACACGTAGTCGGGCACCACCATGGACGCGTTTCATGCAGAATGTTACGGTGAGTTGGTCCAGAAGCTCGCTTCCGACATGCTGAATGTTTCCGCGGGACCAAGGTTTTGGTAAACAACATTTCCAGCGCTATACTGTCCTCACCCTCTTCAGCATGTTACATACTCAACTCGTTACTGGTTGAAAGTTAGTCTGCTCCATTCTATGTCTGTAATTCTTTCAATAACATTTTATATTACCTTCAAAAATAAAGTAGTGGAAGTTTTCCAGCAGGCCCCTGTGACGCAGTGGTAGCGTGTGGATCTTATGCGCCTTTGGATGCAAGGCCATGCAGGTCCGAAGCCGTGAGTTCAACCCTCACCAGGGGCATGCTTGCTCGTGTACGAAGAGTTCGCTGTTCTCACAGTCTTGCACATGGATATTGCGGGGTTAGTATGCTTTTGAATTCGTTTTTTGTGCTGTCAGTGACGATCGTTTACATCTCCGTCATCGACCGTCGAGCCTATAGACGTGTTCTTGGTTCTGAATGCGCTTTTTTACGTATTTTGACACCCTGGCATGAGTTGGAGAGTTCCATTTGTACCTTTTTGTGATGCGCCCACTTCTCTGACTGTACCTGTAAGACGGCCGAATTTGAAGTCGAAAAGATTACAACCGTTGGTGAGAATACTCATTCAAAATACTCCTGAAACTCTTTGCTCATTCATAAGGCGTCCTTTTTCGCATTTTACTTTCTAACTCCAGGCGATGCGTACATTGCGTGCACTCGGGCCCGTGCCACGGCGCTATTTTGGGCGGGACCACGAACTCCCGGTAGATCTCATGGGCGACACTGGTGAGTGGTTTTTCAAGACGGGTGTGGAAGTGGCGTGAACTTGAGGCTTGCCGGGAGGGTGCGGGTGACCCCCCAGGGGGGTGCCGGTGGTGAGGTGGCTTCTCCGGCGGGGCGGGGTGTCGTCGTCGTCGTCGTCGCCGTCACCATCCACTGCGTCGTGGCACGGTTGCACCTCGTCATGCTTGGCGCCGAACCCAGGCATCCCGGCGCCAAACGCGGGCTCACCAAGCCCCACGACTTCCCTGAGCTCGCGCAGCTCGTTGTGGATCCTGTGCGCAGTGCGCGAGACGAGGAGCGCGCCGCCGAGGAAGACGAGCGCGAAAACGCTCAGTACGACGAGGCAGGCCTTGCGGCGTTTGGCGTGGAAGGCTGCGGTGGTGGTGGAACAACGAATGCGGATGATGCGTCGTGGTGAAGGCAGCGGCAGCCACTTGCGGGCGGTGCTTCTTGTCGGCAGCGGAGATCGGCGCGCCGCAGTGGTTGCAGTGCTGCATCTGGTCGATTGAGTCGCTCGCCGCTGGGTCGTCGCGGTAGGCGGGGGCGAGGAAAGGCTGCTGTTCCTCAGCCATGTTTTTTGGGTGGTTGGTGTGGTATTGGGAAAACGGGCACTTTTTGTACCGAAGCCAAGGCAAGGCCTTGCCTTGCAGGTTTCTTGGCGCTGCACAAAATAAATGTAATTCCAATCGTGGGGAGAGCCCTGAGGTCCGGACCCCACTTTCGTGCTACTTTCGCGCAACTCACCGTTATTCAACCGCGAAACGGTTACGCGGGGACTGGAATCAACCTTCTCGAGGAAAGTCGTGGCTGGGTCGGGTCTGGGCCGCTCCCTTCAGCGGCACGGAAGATTAAAGGTGAGTCCAAGCCGAAAACACTTGCTCTTTCTCATTATGTTAGTTGCTTCGGGTGCCTACTCTCGTAATGGGCTTTTGCGCGCGGGATGTCAATTTTTCGATTTGAAAACATGCCAAGCACCAGCTTCGCACCCTGCGCCACCGACGACTCTGACGTCGATGCCGACGGAGACGCCCGCGCCGTAGCTCTGGCGTGCGCGCCGTCCTGGCGAACTCTCGCGCGCCTCGCGTCCACTTGCCAAACACTGAACGCCGCACTCGTGAACGAGCGGAACCCGCTTCAGCAACTGGACGGCCTCTCTGTCGACGCTGTGCGAGAACCGCACAGGAACTGGGTCGGGACGGCTGGAGCCCGCTATTTTGCCGTGGTGTACGACCAGGCTTTGCGAACAGGCCGCTTACAGTGGGGAACGTGGTGGTAGAGACCGAGGTGGACTGTTTAAGCTGGTGAGGCGGCGAGGAGAAGCTTTTCGCACTGGTTTATCCCCTTTGGCCGAAAACAAAGCATTTTGTGTGGCATGTTTTTCCAAGCCGTCTTTGGACTCGAAGTGCTCTCACAAGAGGGAGTTTAGCTGAGTCGTGCGGGAAAAGTTTAAACAAATGAGGCAGTCCCGTCTCACGTATCAGTGCCAAGAGGATGTTCAACCCCAGAATCCGACGATTCTCTCTCTGAAAGTATTACAGTATTGAATGTGAATCCGCCTTCAAACATAAAATCGAAGCCGTTCTCCAAATATGATTAGGTTGAAATGATGCCGCTACGCTCATCGTCATCTCCCAGGAGGAGTCGCGCGGGACCCTCGGCAGCCTCTTCCTTCCCAGCAGGAATGAACCATTCGCCGAAGTGCTGCCGCGACGGAGGACGGCGACGGCGTCCCCTACCCGGCAGACCCTGGGGCGTATCCGGTTGTGACGCATCGACATAGACCCGCGGTGGGTGTGGGGAGGAGCCACTCAGATCCGCGGCTAAATGGTCGAACCGACCTACCAAGCCGGGGGAGGCCGCGCCACGATCTATCCCTTTCTCTCTGTCTCTCTCTCTCTCTCTCTCTCTCTCTCTCTCTCTCTCTCTCTCTCTCTGTCTCTGTCTCTGTCTCGTGTCTCTCGGTCTTCGCCTCGTCCTGAAAGGACTTATTGGCGGAGCGGAGGACCCAACTTACGGAAAATCTACCTCCGTTCCGTCTCCGATACCACACACTCTCTCTCACACACTCACTCACTCACTGGTGCCAAGTACAATACTTGCACGGAAATTGAACCCTTGAATCAAACGCTGGACGGCAAATACTGCGAAATGAGACCTTTACTTCGTTGCTTGCGTTGCAGAAAGTAAATACTGTTTCTTCGCACTTTCGCTTTCGGCCGTGTTCTTTCACGCTCACACCCAACTTCAAACAAAAGTCAACTTCCTCTTGGGTTCTTCTGCGTTCAGTGGGCGAACCCGGGCTGTTCTTCGCCGTCGTCGTGGGCTGACGGTTGGGGCGGCGGGCCCGGAGGAACCGGACGAGGGTTCGAGCGGTGGTGCGGTGGTTTGGGGTGATGGTGCGGGTGATAAGGGTGACGGTCGTGGTGGTGATGGCCGTGTCGTCCTCCATGGCGGTGCGAGTGGCCTGGTCGCTTTCTAGGCGGCGGGCAGTCGCCTTCGTCATCGTCGACATCGTCGTCGCCGTCGTCTTCATCGTCCTCCTCGTCTTCGTCGTCCTCTTCGTCCACCTCACCGCGGTAGAACCCCTCGGCTTCGAAATCCTCGCCAAAGAACGAGTCAAAGTCATCATCGGTCGCCTCCAACCAAGGCGGCACCGCACCCAAAAACGGGTCGCCGAGCCCACCGCCGAGCCCACCGCTTTCTTCGAACGCTCGCAGCTCGTTGTACAGCCTGTCTGCCGCGCGCGAGACGACGACCGCACCGCCGAAGAAGGCGGCCGCGACGACGCCGAGGATGACGAGGTGCAGCTTGCGGGAGTCGTAGACGGAGTGCGTACGTGGCGAATCGGGCTTTAGTTCGGCAAAGACTGGGGACCCGCAGTGGTCGCAGTGCCTGTGCGTGTGGAGCCCGTCGTGAGCGTCGTCCTGGTAGGGCGGGGCCAACATGATGGGCTGCTTCTCCTCGTCCATGGTGGTCGTGTGATTAGGCGAGGTTTTCTTTGTGGTTGCTTTCGTTCTCAGAGAGTTGACTGTCAATGTCAGTCAATTATTGGCTTCGCCACGGAAACGAGGCCGAAAATTCCCATAAATGAAACTCGAGTTCCGAGTGTCGGCCACGCTTGGACAACTGGCGGAAACTAGGAAAGACTGAGTCCTCTATTTGGCACATGTGGAATTCTGTTTCCGAGTAGGGACGAAATAATCTGGACCTTTTAAATGAATTCCAGCTAAGCCACACACCACAATTTTTTCAAGCCACAAGCAATTTACACCTCACAACGACGTCACAGGCACCACCACTGAAGTGGCCGCTGCACAAAGCGGCGTGATCCACCACAGGGGGCGTCGGTTGACCCGACAAACTTCCTGAGCAGTTCGCGCACAGCGTCGAAAGAGAGGCCGACCAACTGCACAACCCTTCACTAGCGGGGTTCCTCTCATTCGCAAAGTGCAGCGGGCGCTGAGAGCAAATCGAGAAGTTGTATAGATTCCATCTGGCCTCCCACGAGGGCGGTATTAGGGACTGGGCCTACATAAATACATCAACAAACCCCCGGACTAGACACCAGAGACCCCACGGACGAGAGCCCCATGCGTTCCAGAGATCCTGGAAGCACGGGGGCAGAAGGTTTTTGGTGAACATATCTGTCAACATATCTGCTGTGGACAGGTCCCCGAATCCAGTGATATATCCAAGCATGTGCTTGGAAAGATTGTTGATATCAGGTCAGGTGGCAAAAGCTAGCTGCCTTTCACAGCAGCATCCACAACTCCCACTAACTCCATCCAACTCAACCACCTTCCCTTCCTTGAAAACAGAGAATCCAAAATGAAGCTGAGCACCCTCGCATCTTCTCCCTCCTCTCCACCTTCCTCTCAACGCCCTCGCAGCCCCCCTCACCCCCGCCGGTGACTTGGACACCATCGTGGTCGCAGGTGGCAGAAAGAAATCCAGCCACCCGCCGCCAAAAAAAAAATCCAGCCGCCCTCGGCCAAGAAGAAAGGACTCGACGTCCAGCCGCCCGTTGCCAAGAAGCAAGAGATGGACACCGCCTGACGACGACAACGGCGAGGCCGACGCTGCTGGGCTTGGGTACGAGGGCGGGCTGTACGGTAGGTACGGCGGGTACGGGAAGAAGTTTGACGGCGGAGGGATCAACGTGAAGAACGTCGAAATCGAGAACAAGGATTGATTTGAAGTGAGGTGTATTTTATTTTATATTTTATTTTTATTTTATTTTTTTGCAAGTTTCCGTCTCAGGTGTTGACGGAGAATTTTAGAGGCGCCTTGTGATGCCTCCCGCTGCCCCCCTTTGCCTGGGCGGTTGTGATATCGAATAAATCGGCTTCTCCTCAAGTCTAACACGCTTTGGAATTGCCACGGGCGGCTAACCCTAATGGCGCTTTATCGTTCAAGTTCATATTTACATGCTCATGATTCTCAGTCTGCTCGCTCAAGGTAGATACACAATTTTTCGTCCTTGACCAGCCTCCACCATCATCCGGGCCACGTTCAGTCAGATTCCAATCATACCAGC